GGCTAACGTTTTACTTTGAATCATATAGAAAATTTTAGAAATTCTTAGCCATCTGTTTTTTTATGCAAACAATTTAGTCTAAAAAGGGAACCCCAAACAGTTGTAATAACTTTTAACTTCGACTCCGTAGCTTTTAAAATGAATGTCGGCTATCAAAGCTGGTGCAAATTGGACCTGGTGTGGACGATTATTGCGAAGGTCGTGTCGTTGCTGGATGTAGCATCGCACAGTCAACTACTCCATGTGGTATCACTAGATAGACGCTTCTTTGCGATAAATCGAGAAATCGTTAGTTTATGCTAAAAGCAAACGTAATACGACATGCGAAAGTACAAATCACATCGTAACTCGCATCGGTCGGTGGCCTTACCTCGTTAGAGTTCATAAACCCGAGCGAAACTGGGGCACGTACCGCGTGCTCCCCCTCCACTCTCGGTCCCCTCAACCGTCGTCCCGTTACCTACCACTAACTATTCATTGAAATGTTTCTACTACTTGCCTTAGAATTATTCTAGTATGATAAATGCGAAAACACTTTAACAACGTTTATTCGTATATCAAGCATACGCGTATTCAACGAGACAGCTACGTTCTTTGTTCGTTGAGCCTGTGTTAATAATAAGTTTAAGGTCATATTGTCGAGTAATCAGACGCTCGTTACTTGCTGCTCCATACATTCTTCAATGGTTAAGTCATAATCCAATCAGTGAACACAACGGCTGAAGCCATTTATTTGATATGTGCACTAAATCATGACTTTATAGTTTTCAATGTTTAAGTATTAATAAACAATGTTAGAGGAGAAATGCTGTCACCAGTGAGGCGAATGAACCAGTATTGCGCTGTACTATGTAGAGTTGCGCAAGCGCAGCACGAGAAAGTGCGAGTAAAAGTTGACGCAACCCACGTCACACGCCACTCGCCGCCCCGCCACGTCACACATGCGAGTACACATAGGTCATTTACAGTGTTGCGTGTGTGTGCGTTTAGTGTTATGTATACGTACTTAAGTGTCATGCACTGACGACACTTGATTACAATCGAATGTGTTATACAATGGATTTAATAATAAAGTTTGTTACGAAGACGTTGCCACACGTCAGCACGTAAAAAAGTACATTTCCAATCACTTATTTGAGATAAATAACAGCATTAATTACTAGTAGTATTGCACCGTGTGGACTGGTTGCTTACAATAATTTAGAAACAGAGAAACAGTAAATAACAACTGTATGTGCAGTAGACACAATTAAAGTTCATTGCATGCTCCTAGCGAATTCATATGATATGTAGGATAAAAGAAAATATGTGACAAGTAGTTTAACTAAATGATCGGTTTTCCTATGATGATTTGGTTTTATAAAAGTTATTAAACATGTTATAAATAGTCATGTTACAAAGTAATCAAGCCCATATAACTCTACTAATAGAATAGGAAATATTAATCAATAACTTTCCTATGGTTAATCATTTTGGAGTTTGCTGTAAATCCTTTTTTATAATTGGGAATAAAGTAAAATTAATACCCACGTGGAGGTTCTAGAGTAGCTAGGGTGAGGGGTATGGGGCGAAGGGAGCACGGCGACAGAAATAGGGCGCGGAGGACAGAGCAAGGCTGCCCCGGTTGTCGGCCATCGACCTGCGCCCATAACTAAGAGTACGTAGCACGTCTGTGTGTGCGTAGACCTCGCTACGATCATACTACGAGCCGTATGCACCAAGTGACGTGCATCGCTTTGCCTCGTTGGGGATGCACCGGCCTCATCTACGTACTGGTTGTACTCGTTTATTACTAGTTCTTTAAAAATAGACTTCAATCAACACCATCAATGCCTTAAATTGCTTTTAAAATATTTAAATGAAATCGTTTTAAATTCATTCAATTCATCTATTATTAAAAATAATCGTCAGCTGTTAAATCCAACAGAATAAACTTTATTATTTTGTAGCGCCATCTGTCGTTCAATAGACATACTACGCGAGTGTTGAGATGCCGTTTACCCCGCGCGCTCCGCTACTCCCGCCGCGATAAGGGCACGAGTTCGTTGCTCCGATACAGACTGACCTCAAAAACGAGGACACTGCAAAATTAGGACGATGACAACGTAATGACTCAAGCGCCAGTGTTCTACACGTGAAATGGGACTTATAATTAATAGCAATAAGAAATAAAATTGTGTACGTTTTTGCTTTGAACTACATATATTTGATCAATTAGGCAAATACGCTGACTTCAACACTAACGTTCTAGCTAGAAGTGTTTTACCGTACGATAATAATAGGTTCAAGCTGGTTCTAGGTATATACTCAAAATAAGGTAAATATAGGTGGTATACAGTCATCCCTAATGTGTGATTATGTTCACGGAAGTATAGTTATATATAACGTGTTCCCAATATTTGTAATAATTTTAGGAATATATAATAATCTAATTAATTAAATGTCACATTAATTTGAGACGCGTGTGACATGACTGCACTTTGTTTATTATGGCTTGACCTAAAATGTGCCTGTCTCTTGATTGGAATGCCTTTTGTAAAAAAAAACTTTGTTTTGTTTCAGGTAAGCATAGTTCTCGGTTACCTAAAATTGATGGCTGCTTGCAAAAATCTGGTAACAAGTTTTGGATTTATATGTGTATAAATGAAAAACGTTTTCACCTCTTATTACTACAACCAATAAACGAAAAGTATTATAAATAATATTAGTACCTATAGAAACTGTTAGGTATGTTTTAGTCAGAACAATTAGTTATGGATCTTTAAAAAAGTAAATTTAAAACTTATTTCATAAATTATCAAAACTTCAGAAATGTATAGCAGATTCTTTAACTAAACCGTGACTACCGCCAATTCACTACTAGTCAAATTCTATTGATACTGTCATAACTGAGCTAAACTTCTGTGTTGGTGCATTCATAATTAATCAACTCATGATGAAAGCCTAACCTAATCTTACGCATCAGATTGCAACACGCTGATAAAAATATACCAGTTGTTTATATTTACTTGCCTTGTAAGGCTATTAAGTAGTACAGTTAATGGAGGACAAGACGTAAACTAATGTTTACTAGATAAATTGACACGACCACGTTCGAAAGTAAACATAACAAGGTGAAGAAGATTATTCAGGCATTCGTATGGCACAGTTGAGCTATCATAACGAATGCAAAGGAAAATAAGTGCAGGATGCACCGCCCTGGGCCGGGAGCCGTCGCTAAATATAGCTCGGTCGTTGACCGACAAATAGGTCACTCCCTACATCGCCAGCGTTACAACCACCTACATCCCCCTTCGATTCGCCTTACTCTAAACATAAATTACTGCAAATACCACACATTAGTAAATTATTTAGTCGGGCATTTAAATCATACACCACTGACTTTAATTACATAAGAGCCATCTCTCTACATTCATTTATTTATTATGTAATAATGCTTATTATCACTACTTTCTTGTCTACATGGAAGTGTAAAACAGTCAATTTTCTAATGGTTTTGGTAAGACTTCCGTGTATTATTATTAAATTCATTGCCTTAATGGTTAATTCATGACAATTAACTTGTTGATAACTAAAAATAATAAAGGTAACATATGTATATGAATGATGCTATCGTCTCTAGCATTCGATTAGTTTTCATCTGCATACTATGCAGTAAAGTGACAGTGCGAAAGCGGTCTAGAATACAGCTAATGAGTTTAATCCCGCGATCGACAGTGCAATAAACTATGTAATTTTTTCAGATAATAGCTTTATTAAAATAAATAATTTTACGCTTCTTTACATTCCTCTTATTCTAAATACCGCTATAATATTTTTCAACGAAGATGTTCTCATCCCCTTAGGGAAAAACTTTCCTTTTAAATGGCATTCAACTTTGAAAAAGATGACACTTGTTGATCTAGAACCTTCATTGTCAGAAAAATAGACATTAAAAGAATTTTCATGACACTGTCAAGACTCCGTTTGTTGAATCAATTGTTTCATAAAGCTTCTGTTATAAATATTTTACCAATAAGCGTCAGTTCTTGAAGTAAATTTATAAGAAAATACTAGACTGAACATGAAGTAAACGCGTCACCGGTTAACGTTAAAATAACATAAGAAACCCCGTAAACAACACGAGCTATGTATAAGCAGCTGTTGTTAATGAAGTCATTCACTATTTTTCAGCGGTTAATGACATACTCAGTTTAGTTTTACTTGATAACTGTTCACTTTTGTTTCATATGTCCTAGTGGTGAAACAGAAGTATTATGTGTCTATTAGAACTAGCAAAAGATAAAAGAAAAATAGTTTTATTAGATTAAGAAGCTCCTGTTTTATAAAATGAGTAGCATGAATGACAAAGTGCACTTTGCAGTGCAGTGCAGAACGATTTCTTTGTATTAGATAAGAGGTTGACTTTTTTAAAGCATAGGCTTTAGAATAATCAGTGAACCATAATCTTGTTTTGTATCTAACAGTGAGAGTAATTTCTAAGTTGCTAGAACACATTTTCCTTATAAAAAGAGATGGCGTTAACCACTTACTATCAGACTGAGGCTAATCTTTTATACCATCTCAGAAAGTTCTTTCTCTCTTTCTTTCTATCTTTTAGTAAATTAAGATGCCACTCCTATCTGTTCTAATAAAAAAACAGGGTTTTTTTGTTTGGTAAGATGTGATAATCTCTGGAACTGTCACCCAGATTTGAATTATTTTTTTTGTGTTGGATGGAGAATTTGTTAAGACATAATATAGCCCATAAAACACCATCAATCTACTAGGAGCTGTCCCTTGTAATAACTAAAAATGCAGGTGAAACTGCGTAAATCAGTTGAATAAATCCTTTATTGGGGGAATATTATGTACTTGAAATTTAGAAATATAGAGTAACTCATAAATGCATGTCAATGCGATTAATTTGCTCACTGTTTGTACATGTAGAGACGTAACGTTAGCAATGAATTGCAACAGCATTTTGGAACTAGCGCACGGCAATATGCATTCATAATAAATTAGTAAGGACACGTCAGCAAGCGTGGGTGTTGTTGTTTTCCCCATGGTTTATGTTGGCTGAGCTCGGCCGAAGCTTGTAGCAGGACGAGGGCAGGGTGGGGCGTGAGGTGCGCGGCGGGGCGAGTGTCGCAAGCCGCGAGTGCATGGCCGGCCGTCGGCACCGCGCCGACCCTGACTGACTTATCTTGCGAACGTGCGCCGCGCGCAAATTCTAACACTGGCAAATTTAACAACCGTGGATTATTGTTGTACATTACTCCTTTGCCCGTCAAGCTCACGTCAAGGTACATACAAAATTCAAAACGTTTACTCCTACACATATCTTACCTTCCTCAAAATGTTCAGTGTTATTGACAATATGAAAATGAGTACCGTTGCCCTTTACGCTCAAGTTATTACGCCAAATTTAGAACGCAATCACAATGCAATGTCAATCAGCATGTTTGTAATTTTGCATGTTGATGTTTATTATAATCGTCTTGCCATGGTTACTGCGGTTACTCACGCTTTGGTATTCGTTTTAATATAGGAGTCTGTAAATAGTGTGTGAAATACAAACAAAAATATGTGCTATCTGGTAATATGTCCTTGTAACGATATCGTTCTCTTCTTCTTTGAAAGTAAAACCAGTCAAGTCGTTGAACTGTAAGCTCATTATAATTTATGTTCTGGCCTGTTTACAACGTTACAACCTTCCCTACAAAGCATTGACATTTCCATTTACGATCACAAATGGTGTGTAGTGACGGGATAACTTGTTCGGATTTAGTCCTTGTTTATTTTCAACATTACATCATAGTAGGCATGAAATGAATTTATGAAAAACTCAACCTTAATTCCTTGTTGTGGCCAGAGCTCTCTGATACCTTGTGAAACAACATAAATTCACATATGGACAATTTTACACTCTTTGGAAATAAAACTATATTTAAAATTTAATAACGATATTCTTATCCTATAATAAATGATATAGCTTTCTAAGCTTTCTATCGTTATGAATGTTCTTATGACTGAAACGGCTGACTTAACTAAAAATATTTTTCCATTCTCTTTTATTCTATTCTATCTCTATATGATAAAACAAAACTAAATTATTTACAATAGACCTAAACTTAAACGTACAGATACATATAACAATGGCAGTAGGTAACTGAAAGTTAGATTATGGAGCACAAGGTACAGACTGTTAGTTTCACCTTGATATAATGAGTTATAGACATAGGTTGTAGGCATCGGCGTGCGGTAAGAGGCAAGCCTAGGCTGGATCTCAAAGGCAGAGTTGCAGGGAGCGGCCGCGGCCGACTTGGACTTTGTAATACATTCGGCCTAGTCAGCGTTCGTTGCCCCGCGCCGCGCGAGGTCGCTGCTGCACAGTGCTGCGAGAAACGAAGCCCGAGTCTAACCGAACACCTCCGGAAATTGCCGAGCAAGATTTTGGCGCGAAATTCAAATCTTCTAAAACTGATAAATTAACAGTATTCAGTTGATACTTACCGTGCAATATTAAACTATCTACTCCGAAATACCTGAGATTTAATTCCCTACCCGGTCGACAGCATTGGACTTGCCCCCTATTACATTAGCAACACCAAGCATGAGGGCACCAAGTTATGTACACCTCTGACTATCCCCTGGGTGATAAGGGTGACTATATGCATGTATTTAAATGGAAACAGATTATTAAATTGCTTTTCGTATTTGGATTTTTTAAGTTTTAGTTTATTGTTCTAGAAAAAAGTAACTAACTATTAAATCAAAAAGAATTACAAAGGCAACAATTAATTCCAGCGACACTTAAAAACCAGTATCACACTTGTATTCAATGATAGTTAGAGAATTTAAGAAAACAAACAATGCTCGTCGCCATCCACATTGTTTGTAATTTCCCTATTCAAAAGCAAAAGTCAAACGCTTATGTAAGTGTTCGGAAAGCCGCGATGTGACACTTTAACCCAGTGCTGCATATTCCGGAGTGAGTTAGTGCGACGCACCCGTTTCGCGCTCATTAGTATGGAGACAGCGGCTCACCACTTTCACTCTCGCCAATAACAAGTGTTACGCAAGCCGCCGTCACTGCGCGGCTCTCTACAACCTCCTGGCACTATCTCTGGCGTACCGAAGCGCAGCGCTCCCACTACGCGCCGTCACTAGATTAGCGAGCAAAAAATGTACATAAATTGTCGCAATAATGGTGCAACAGTATGACGAGACAGCGCAAGACGCATCCTCGGGCCTAATGATAGTCTCGGCAGAAATGAAAGTGAATAGTGTTTCGGTTATTCATAGTAGGTCAGCGGAGTAGGGCAACGGGGGTCGACGCCCGCGCAGCCTCGCTGGGTGAAAGTGGCCCTCCTCGTCCCCGCGCCCTCGGGCTCCTCCAATAGTTGACGATTTACCTGCGCACGCGCCAGCTTTTTGCAACTCGGCCATGGAACCTATTACGATAACTGCGAAATAACGCTCAAGCACCAAATGTAAATGTATGGCCTTTATTTGTCCTCGATCACAAGACATACCTTGCTGTAGATACGAATGGCATTTGTTAACTTAATGCACAAATCACTATAGACGTTTAGCTTTGTCTAAGGTGGTAAATAGGCCATCTAGCCACTGAACATGGGTACCTGTAGACATATAAGGTTTACCAACCTCAATCTAACTATAATTTGTGCAGAAAATAAGTTGGCCTAATTGTCAAGATTAAAAAAAAACAAACAAAAACACACACAACAAACAACAAACAAATGTCTACATCCACTAACCTCCGTCCGGCATTTGTCCTGTAATATCTTTGTGGGACGCCTCAAAGTCTACTAAGAATAACGTCGTATCGTGTACCGGTTACGGCATTTTAAAATCTGTCTGTTATGGTTCTGCCAGGATTTAGAAATCATATTGTTTCATCAGGGGGAGAAAGGTTAATATCTGTTCTGTTTCGCACCATTGATATCCGCGTGCACCAGTTAAAATACAAAACTTTAGTAAAAACATGACCGATTTAAAGTCTTGTATGAACAGCATGATCTCATCGTTCATCATTTGAAAGATATTCCTTATATTCTTTAATCTAGAATTAGGGTCAATATAATGAGCCAATCACTAAGGAAAAATCCTATCAGTCACCTAATACCGAAGTTAATAGCTCCTACACATGTGCATTATAAACAATAAAACTTCATCTGCATAAGTAATTTATTAAGGTTATTAGATGTTTCAATCACCATCTGGAAACCGGTATTTCCTTAAAGTGACATCATCTCTCGTAATATATAGTTCAGTGAAACAATAAGCACTTTTATCGTTGTTCGCGAAGAACTATGAGCAATACGCGCAGTGGTTTACGTAATCGGCAGACGGTAGTAACTAGTGATTGAATAGGCCCCATCTTACGTAAATGTAACGTACTTGCCCACATATCAAGTACTGCTTGCGTAATACTTTAATAATTTTGTGAACCTATCTTTATTATTATTGTTACAAAAGAAAGTAACCATTACACAAACAGTAATAAATATATACAGCTATTTAGTTCATACTTCAAATATTGTGAGGGAACGGGTCTTCTAGATAGACAAGTTCCACCAAAGATCGCTGACGCAAATTCCACAATAAATATCATTGAACATAACCACTTTTTATTGATTAGTGTACAACGTCATCAAGCCACGAATTGCATCCTGTAGATAGAAGTGAAACAGAGGCTACGCTCCCGTAAAAGACGTCTTTCTATCTGACAGGAACCAGATTTTTCCTGGATAAACCTACCCTATGTCCTTTTCTGTGTTTCTGACAACGTGTATGCATAGTTTTATGATGATTTTTTAACTAATTATTACGTGCATGCATAACATATTATTAAACAAACTTACTTTCGCATTTATATCATTAGATATGATAAAATCTAAGATTATTCTCTACACACAGAATAAATAAAACTATTTTAAAAACAACACATCTTTTACGTTAGTTACAAAAGTTCACTACTTTTGTCTTGGTTTAATTATAAAACATTTTGGAGTTTTATAGACCACTATTAAGAACAACGACGTATGGAATGAGGTCAACAGGAATACTCAGCTAGACAATGTTTACGAGCGATTATAATTTAGATGAGTGAAGGCTTAATAAAGTGATCCGAGGCTGCGGCCGGAGCCCCGAGTTGCGACAGCATGAACAAAGAAAGCGGCACCGAGCCGGCCTTGCGGAGTTCATCGACCGACTTTTGCAGGTCGCAAGGTTTCGCCAATCGGGCTTCTCGTAGCTCCAGGATATTGCCAATTCAGTGCGATCAAGGCTGCGCATTGCTGCCTGGCCTGACTATACCTCTTACTTTTCGTTGCAAAGAAAAACCTATACATTTAGCGTCCCATGTGAGACGTGACAATAACATTAAAATATTATACTATATTTTAACAATGGCATACGACTGACATAACAGCCTAACCAAAGAACCTGCAAATAAATTATCATTATTTTTCTGCCTATACGATAATGTTAAACAGTTAAGTACTTCCATTTTATTTTTAATTCCAAGTTAACATACCTATATATATTCGTACAATACTTAAATAAAAAAAAACAAGTTGTTTAGGTATCATACATAATGATATGATATCAATCTTAGTCATGAACTGCACGATATCGAAGACGAAAATACAAAAATACTTCATTGTTCAGTGCGTAAGTTAGCTTTTGTTATGAAATGCAATGTATGAGTCAATTATATCAAATTCCCTGTAAAATAAAAAAAAAACGGTCACACACATTCACAAGTCTATTAGTTTCGAGGCCAGCTGGTACCTAGACACTTATTCAATACATCTGGCGTACTTTCAGTTCATGAGGTTAATTATCTGTACCTATAAATACCGTTTAGTGTTTTGTACAAGGTTACTTTATAGGTTTCAAATGACCCTGATGGATGTAAGTCGATATTCCATCTTGTCTCTTCCCTTCAAACTCTATCTGATTGTACATAAAAGACGTCGATCACCCAGTTATAAATAAACTGTTGCAAGGCATATGTGAAACTACCGTTTCTAGTTACGACTGTACATAAAATAAACGTCTAGTGTTTATGGCCCCATAAATTTTCTTTCGGATTTTAATATGCTTCAACATTTAACCTTGAACATAAATGTGTTGTACAAATGCTCGAGAAACATGTTTAATTAACTACAGCTTAAGGAGGTTGAACATTGCACTGATATTGTTATAACGCTAACTTTTAATAAATGTTTTCAAATTTGGAATCAGCTTTTTTCCATTTACACCAAAAATACAAACACCTTCACAATAAGCTTGTAATAAAAATTTAGGA